TCCTCCTCCTCCTCCTCCTCCTCCTTCTCTCCTTCTCCTTCTTCTTTCTATCATATTGGCGATCCTATTTTGATCAACAGCCGCACAAAATGAGCTGCTGAGTTTTGTCCAAACCGGCCCCTTAGATTTTGAAGCCATGAGGTTCTTCTTCTTCTGCTTGGACCTCATTTGCCTTCCATCTTTCCCTGGAGGATTAAGTGAAGTAGGCCGTATTTTTCCGGGTGTCACATCCCATGTCCAAAATATTCTAACTCTCTCTTTTTAATGCTTTCGATGATTTCCCTTGGCTTTCCCAGACGGCTGATCACCTCCTCCTTTCTGATTTTGTCAACCCAGTTTATCGGTAATGGCCGCCTGTAATTCCACATTTCAAATGCTTCTAGTCTCTTCAAGTGGCTTTCTACCATAGACCAACTTTCTACTCCATAGAGCAGGATAGAAAAGACATAGCATCATCTGACAAGCCTGGTTTTCAATCTTAGGATTATGTCATGACTGCAGAAGACCTTTATACTAGTTTATATTACGATGTAAAAGTAAGAAGTTGGGGTTTGATGCATCTTACTCTTATGCACCAAAGGGAGTTGGAAGCCAATGCCTTTCCTTTCTTTCTCCCCCGTTTTCCTAAACCTTTCCCTTCCCTTTTGCCTCCCCTATCTTTCCTACTGTTTCCTTTTGTGTTTTTGTATTTTGTATGATAAATTAATTTTTAAAAAATAAAACTGACATTTAAGTTTCAAGCATTTCCTGGCTATTAAAGAGTGGCAGGATCCTTTTCTTCGAACGCCCCTGGTTTTTGCTTTCTCTTCGATGCAGCCTCATTCTCCCTTCAGTGCCCACCGGTAGTCCTCGACTTATGAGGACTGATAAGTGAGTTCGGTCCCATTTTTCAACCTTCCTTGCCATCGTTCTTAAGTGAATCACCGAAGCTGATAAGTCAGTAGCACAATTGTTAAGACAATCTGGCTTCCCCATTGGTTTTGTTTGTCAGAAGGTCGCAAAAGGGGACCTTAGGGACACAGCAATGGTCATAAATATGAGTCAGTTGCCAAGCGCCTGAATTTCAATCACATGATCTTGGGGATGCTACAAAGGTGGTAGGGTGTGAAAAACGGCCCTAGGTCCCTTTTTCCACCACCGTTGTAACTTCGAACGATCACTAAACGAACTGTCGTAAGTTGAGGACTATCTGTACACCCCTGTCATGCCCTTGTTGGAGCCTGATTCTGAGGGGGAGATTGAGCAGCTGACAGGGAGTGGGAGTGGGGCTCTGGTGGCTGTGGAAGAGACGGGGGAAGGGCACAGTCCAGCTGGGCAGAGCAGGGGATAGGTAAAACGAGGGACAAGGAATTCAGAGGAAGACCCAGGGCCATCCCCTCTTCATCCTAGGGCATGCAGGGAGGAACGGAGAAAGGAGCAACATGGCTTACTGGAGAGGAAAGGGCCCTGATCCCTTTCATGAGTTGCAACTGGGAGAACAGGATATAAGAGGGGCATTTACACACAGCTCCTTGCTGGAAGCAAAGCGTGCTTGTCTTTGTGGAGGCTTATTTGGGTTTTGGCATCCTCCCAACTGTGGTTGCTGTGTTATCCTTTGGAAGTCTGCAATTTATCATCCTGGCCTGCCATGTTAACTATTTCAGTGTGGTTTGTGTTGTTGTTTTTATTTCTAATTATCTTTACTTTGGGTTTGGACTGCATTTAATCTCTTCGTAGACTGTTTTTGGAAGAGTTTGATCTCCAGCCAAGGATAATTGGACATTGGGGCCCAAGTTGGAGGCATTCAAGGGAATTTATTTTACTTTTGTGACTTTGTCAATTTTGTGTCACAGGTCATCACAGCACCCTTGATCTTTCTTCCCTCAGGAGCTGAAGGCCTTTACAGCCAGTTGATGTGCGACTTTGAGATGGACGAGAAGGATTTCGAGGCTGATTCCTGGAGTCTGGCCGTGGACAACAGCTTCCTGCAGCAGCACAAGAAGGAAGTCATGAAGCGGCAAGATGTCATTTATGGTGAGCTCCCCCCTCGGGCCCCCCTCCCCAGCGATGGAGGCCAGGCTGGATAGCTTCTGAGGTCCCTTCCAGCACTATGCTGATTGAAACTTACCAAGGAGAGAAGCAATCAGGGGTGGGATTCTATCAGTTCGCACCTATTCTCTAGAACCGGTTGTTAACATTCTAAGCAGTTCGGAGAACCGGTTGTTAGACGAAATTACTGGGCTAATCCTGTAAGGAAGGCAGGAAGGAAACATTCTGGTGTTGCTTACAGAAACTGCCTCTCCGTTAACCCTTATTACGTTCTTGGCAGGACTAGACTTCCTGTCTCAGGAACTTCTCTGGAGTTTTTTCCCCCTCCTTTGCTGGTACTTTGCTGCTTGTGTTGAGTGACCATTCAAAGTTACAATGGCACAGAAAAAAGTGACTTATGACCGTTTTTCACACTTACGACTGTTGCAGCATCCCCACAGTCACGAGAGGCCAGGCGAGGAGATGCGTGCCTCAATGTGAGTGATATTGAGTTGGCCACGCCCAGCCAATCACATGACCACCAAGCCACGCCCACCAACTAAGCCACACCCACCCCTGGAAGCAACCTAGAACTGAGGAAAAATTTCCTAACAGTGAGAACAATTAACCAGTGGAACAACTTGTCTCCAGAAGTTGTAAATGCTCCAACAGTGGAAGTTTTTAAGAAGAGATTGGACAACCATTGGTCTGAAATGGAATACTATAGGGCTTTCCTGCCTGAGCAGGGGGTTGGACTAGAAGACCTCCAAGGTCCCTTCCAACTCCGTTATTCTGTTTTCAGGACACGCTGCTGTTACTCCGTCATGAGATTCTATCCTGTCCTTCCTTTGGGGCGGCTCTGGACCTCCAGCCCAGCCCCCATTTGCTCCCTAGCCAAGTCTCTTTCTCCCGTCTATCCCTGCAGAGCTGATCCAGACGGAGCTGCATCACGTCCGGACCCTGAAGATCATGAGCAACCTCTTTCGGAAGGGGATGCTGGAAGACCTGCAGATGGACTCCTCGGTGGTGCAGAGCATGTTCCCCTGTGTGGATGAGCTCAGCGAGATCCATGACGGCTTCCTGGCCCGCCTTCTGGAACGGCGGAAGGAATCTCTGGCTGACGGCAGCACCAAGAATTTTGTGATCAGCCGCCTGGGAGACATCCTGATCCAGCAGGTACCGGAAGGAGTATTTTTGCAAAGAGCCCCTCCCCATGCCTCCTTCCCCACCCCTCATTTCTTACTATTTATTTATATCAGTGGTGGGATTCCAAAAGTTTTGCCCCCAGTTCAGTGGGCGTGGCTTGGTGGGGGTGCTGTGCGCGCATGCACACTGTGTGCGTGCACGCACGAACCATGCACTTTGCACAGGCGCAGAGGTGTTCTGACTCACCTCCTGCAAGCCTGCATGATCCCGGTCGCTTCAGCAGCTGCCGCGCAGCACTCTGCTGTGCTCAGAGAGATCTATGGTTGAGTTGGCTCCATCATCTGAGCTGACCTTTCATTTGGCCGTCTCCTCTGCTGTGCCGCACAAAGCAGCTGTGCTTCGAAAGCAGAGGATACAGATGAGTTATGGGAGCCTGGCCAGGTAGGTGAGCCCAACAGCAGAGCGGTGGAGAGAACCAGTTCAGTCTCGGCTGCTCATCGGCGCTAGCGGCTCGGCAGAACCGGGCCAAACCGGTAGAATACCGCCACTGATTTATATCCTGCCCAGTGGTGGGATTCAATCAGGGTAACAACCGGTTTGGTGAGTACACGCTTCGTTTGAACCTGTCCGAACTGACTGAATCCCACCCCTGATCCTGCCTGTGTTATTATTTTATAAACAAAAGCAGCAAACATATCTAATAGAGGTAGTCCTCGACTTACAACAGTTCGTTTAGTGGCTGCTCAAAGTTGCAACGGTACTGAAAAAAGGGATTGACGACTACAGCGTCACATGATCAAAATTTAGGTGCTTGGCAACTGGCTCATATTTATGACGGTTGCAGCACCCTGGGGTCGTGTGATCCCCTTTTGCGACCTCCTGATGAGCAAAATCAATGGGGAAATCAGGTTCCCTAAACAATTGTGTTATAATTGAACAAGTGCAGCCATTCACTTAACCACTGTGGCAAGAAAGGTTGTAAAACGCGGCAAAACTCAATAAATGATTCACTTAGCAACAGAAAGTTTGGGATCAATTGTGGTCATAAATTGAGGACTACCTGTAGCCCTTCCTCCTTTTATTTTTCCTACAACAACAACTATGTGAAATGAGTTGGCCGGAGAGATGGTGACTAGCGCAAAATCACCCAGCCAGCTCTCAGGTGTAAAGCAGAACTCACCGTCTCCTGGTAATTGGCCTCAAATCACCCAGTCAGCT